CACCACCACCACCACCACCACCGTCTCCGCATCCTCGGCAGCGAGCACAGCCACTACGCGCCACCGAGAGGCAGTAGTGCGGACAGGGCGACAGATAGTCAGTGCCTCTACAACTGCCGCCTGAGAGCCATTCTGCCAGCTAGCTGAGAGAGAGAGAGAGAGAGAGAGCAGTGTCTGTGTATCCATACTCTCTCACCCAATCGCCAGTCGTGCACCGTCAAGGTATTCTCGCCTCCCGCCTGACCACGACCACCCCACTGAACCGCACGGTCGTCTCTGTTTTGCACAACTCGAGCGGCCGTCACCTCGAGCTCGCAGAGCTGTCCGATCCTCTTTCCGTGCTTTACCGTGCTCTCTTTGCCGTCTCTTTGTGTCGTCTATCCTCTAGCTCCCATGTGTGATCCCCAAACATAGCGACGCAATCTTCGGTGTCTGGTCGAGGGCCATCCCCTCCTCTTGTCGCCCGAAGTTCGCGCCAAAGTGCTTCAGCCACTACTGCCCATCATGCCCGCCCACCAGTGCTCTAGTGACGGAGTGTAACTAAAAGAGAACCACGATACACTTCATTGATCAACAAATGCGCCAACACGTGTTAATACATAACCCATAAAACTGAACGAGCCACTTGTAAACAGTACTTCGGTGACTACTAAACAGAGTTCTCCATGATGACTATTGCCAGCTATTCGACACCAGTTACATTACTTTTATGCTAGACCTCAACAATAAATCTTCCAATGACAAAGGTAAGCTAAATTCAATTTTTCAAATAATCTTCGATCTGCCACAAACTGACAGAGGTTTCTTCAAACAGCTGATTGTAGCGCTAATATGGACGATGGAGGCCGATGTGTTCTTATAAATGATTCGAAAACTCCGCAACCCCTGTTCGGAAGCACCTCTAGTACAAGTGTTAAGGCTACGGCTAAAAAAGATGCTACGGTTGGCGCTGCCAATAAACCGAAAATGGAAACTACCACAACAAAGAAAGAGGTCAAGGCGAGGAAAAGCACTGTCGTCGCGACCAAGTCCAGTCCGGGCAGTAGTCTTCCGACTGTTGACATGAACGGAAAGGTGCCAACTATGGCTACCGTCAATACCTTTCCCATCGGACTGCAGCAAGGACAGTTGCAGTCTCAGCCTCTGACACTCGTTCCCAGCTCAATGGGCTTAATGTCCCTGACGGGCTCTCTTCCGATCAATGCCCAGTCCGTCTCTATTCACCCGCAGCATCAGACGATAACGTTGACCTCCTCTTCGGCAATGAACCCGGGCACCAATTCCAGCACGATTCGTGCACCTACGCCCACCCTCTTGCCTCAAGCACAATTCCAAATAGGTCCACGTCCGATGACGGTTCATTTACCTCAGCAGCTGCTAATGCAGGGAATGCAAATGGGCCAGCCCGGTTTATCACAGTTTGTTCTCGCCTCACGCAACCCCAACTCTTCCCCCTCACTACAATCTGGTCCAATGCTTCAGCTCATACAGACATCACAGGGCACGCAAATAATAAAAGCAAATCCCCCCACGAGCATTCAGCAAATTGCTTCCACTGCAACGACGACAACCACCACCACCAGCAATAGCAAGTCGAGGTCAAATAAACAAATTCTGCCAAAGCCTCAAAATTCATCAGTATCTACCGCTTCCACCCTCTCTAAAAGTACCACCTTGCAATCAAATAGTAATAACGCCAAATTGATACAACAACAAACGAGTACCCCTACTTTTGGCGCGCAGACTTTCAATGCCAATTCTGGTCTTGGCGGCTCGCACCAGATTGTAGTTGGCCCTCAAGGAACATTTCTAGTGAACAACGGCATGTTGCCGAATATTGGCTCTCAGCCCTTTTTCATTCAAGGAAATGGACTGCAGAACGGCCCTGTCCAGTTAGCAATAAGGCCTCAAGCACCTCTTTTCGTAAACAACAACACAATCACAGGTGACTCCTCCAATCTAGGCATTTCCCTCACCAACAATGCTCAGTTTTCAGCCGGAAAACCGGTAATGCAGGCGAATCAGCAGCAAACCTTCGTCATCTCCAATGCTTCCGGTCCAGCAAATGGTGCCTCTGGGAACCTAATAAACCTTCGGAACGGCACACAGAATCTCATTTTTCGACCTCAGTTTCCCCCCGTCCAGCAGCCACCTCAGCAACAGTTTCTTCAGATACAAACTGCCAATGGGCCAATGCTAGTCGCCCTTCCGCCTCAACCCCATCTGGCCCAGCAGCCGACCATTATACAGCAGCCTGCTCCACCGGCCAATCCTCCGCCCCAAACGATCCAAGTTGGAAACACCGTCTATTCACTTGCATCAAATCCTAACTTAAACCTTCAGTCCGGAGCCCATAATCTGCCAACCATACTCACTCATCCTCAACAGGACATCTGTTCCATTGCCAACCAGTCCAGCATTATGCAGTCAAACATAGCCACCTCAATAAGCACCTCTACTAGCTCTTTTGTCTTCAGTAACAGCATCACTAATAGGAGCATCACTCTTCAACCCCCTGAAATACTTCCTAAAAACCAGTCGAACATGCAAGTCGCTCCTAACCAACAGTCACCTAAAACTAGCTCATCCAAAGGATTAAATCTTGCTGATCTCCTCAAGGAAACGGGAATCTTGTCCGATTTCAGTCCACCGACTTCTCCAAAGAACTCTCTGCCCTCCACAAACACCGCCGACATCAGCCTGCCTCAGCCACCATCCGCCCCAGCAGTGGCTGCCAGTGAAGCTCCACCGATGCTGCCCACTGTTGGCAACAACCAGTCCGCCGTTTTAATGGTTCAAGGAGGAGCACTTAATGCTCATCAAAATGTGCTTATCGCCAACAACAACAACAACAACAACAACAGCAACAACACCATCAACAACGGTACCAGCACGCAGCCACTAACCACATCTCAACTCAGGGTTACTATCGGCCCAGATGGCACGCTGCTGGTGGTTTCGCCTGCAGCAAATACAGCGAATGCAACACCGCCCACCGGACAGTTTGCACTGGCCACACTGGCCGGCAAGGGTCCCCTTAAAGACAGCAGTGGCATCGGCTCCTCCCAACCTTCGCCTGACTCGACAACGCCCAGCCTAGACACCAGCACCAGCTCTCCCTCCACCACAGCCCCTCAGTCGGTATCGTCTTTGATCAGCCTTCCCACGAGCACCGTTGAGCAGATGCCCGTGCAGACGCTGTCCAGGCCACTTGATGCAGCACTGAATGAGGGCAAGCCGACCACTGCCGCCATTCTCCTCGACACCTCACTCAATCAGCTTGTGGTCAAGAGAGCGGAACAAGTGACGCCAACTGCGGTGAAGGGCGTACGCAGTACGATCTGTGATACTAACAAGGCTGCCACACCGGCAAAGAGTGACCCCACTTCGCTTCACCTGATCCCCTCCAGCGCAACGCTTACTAGTCAGAAAGCCAAAAGCATCTCGGAGCCACTCAGGCTAGCACCGAGTGGTATCGCCGTTCCGCTGACACTTCCGCCGATGCTGGGCATGGTCACCCTAGCTGATGTCACTGGAGTGCCCCTTCTCCAAGTTAACTCAGCCAATGCCGAATTTATGAGCCGGCTGGATGCTCAAATCAAAACCATGAGCTCTCAGAGCAGCTTCACGCAGCCTCAGCTGGACCTTTTGAAGGAGCTAAAAAACATTCAAGATACCATTTTGAGGCCGACAAACAGTTTAGGACTGGCGATGCAGCTCAATCTCTCCAACAGTGCCCAGCAACTGCTTCAACTTTCGACTATTAAGAGCAACGGCATGCAGATTCTGATTACCCAAAGTCAAAATCAGCAGTGTCTCAGCAATGGCATTCAAATACCAGCAAACGTCTCCAATTTGGTTTTACCAAGTGCTACAACCGCAGAACTTGTCAAAACGACGGTAGCCAACAGTGCAGTTTCAGTGAAAGTGTCAACCAATTCTCAGGTAGCATCAACTTTAACTGTACAATCTTTGGCAAAGGTAAGCTAAAAAAGGTTCACTGATGTTTGTCTTTTTAATCATCAAATCTTATAATTTGTAGACAAGCACACAGCCACAAAATCAAGTCAAGGCAGAGCCGGAAAAACTACGACCAAATGTGCCGAAGGCGTAAGTGAATTTGTTTCATTCTGAAATGTGCTTTTAATAATTGATTGTTCATTTTCCAACAGAATTCACCAGCAGCTGAATGCAGACCAAAATGCGGCCCTTCACCCTGACTGTAAAACGTCTTTCAGATCTCAAGATGATGCTTTTAAGCGTCTTCTCAGGTACCATGTTTTCGACTGGCCTTCGCCTTCAGAAAAAGATATCGAAAAATGTAAGTTGAAAAAAGAGAATCTAGTTTATAGTTTTAACTGTCTAAATCATTTTTTTCAGTTGACGAGTCATACGAAAAAATATCTCAGCTTTTTTTGCGGCAAAAGTCTCAATTATACGACAAGTTTCGTTACCTTTTATTACGCGAAAGCATGGTACGGAAATAATTTTCTCAATTTTACTTCAGTACTAATCACTATGTTTAATTCTTTTAGAACGAAGTGCCTAAGTACGACCAAATATTGATCAATCGCCTGTTTGTGGAAGATGAAACAAATGCGTTGAAAACTGACCGGGAAATGGTTTCTTCTGGGAAATGTAAATGTTTACTCTGTAAAAAACTTGGGATAAAATTAACTTTTTTTATTTATTCTTATTAGCACTTAATTTACCTCCTCTCCCCGAGTCATGGGTTCATCAGCAAAGAGAAAAAGAAAAGGAAAAAGAGCAAAGTCTCAAAAGAAAGTTATCAACAACAGAATTCGACGATGACTTTGAAGACAGACAGGCTGAGAAGGTGGATATTGCTGATATTTGCAATATGCTGGAGGAGGAACACATTCTCAGCAACGATGATCTCAACAACAACAAAAACAACGACCATATTCTCAACATTCTAATGCCCAGCGACCTGCATCTAGATAGTCAGCGAAATCGAGACATCGAGTGTGTGGACAAGTTGATAGACCAGTTCAACTCACAGGGCGAGGCAGCTGTCGCCAGTGGACTCATTGACTCTGATCATCAAAGTTTCCTTGACAGTCTGGACACTGTGCCTTTGGAGCATGGCCTGATGAGCAATGATGACCTAGAGGCCTTCTACTCGCGCATTGAAGATAGCAGTCAACTGGACGAGTCGCCCTCACCATGGTCCAACACCAACTTGAACTGCTCAGCGACAAACAGTACACTTCAGCAAGGTATTCTTCTGGGGGGCACCGTCACCGAAGAGTCCAATTCGAGGATGGCTTGGAATGCCGGTTTCAACATGGCAGAAACAGAGGCGGCTGTGGCAGTTCAGTCGATTATGTCTTCCCATGAAGAGACCAGCCTTTCAGTGGATCTAAGTGGAATCGACGACCTTGACGCCGCTATGGGCGTTGAGGGTTCAGTCAACTTTGATGACGTCGTAGCTGGTGGTAATGCACTGGTGGTCGATGAGACGAGCTTTCTCAACTCGGAAACACTAGCGCAGCAGCCGCAGCCTGGTTTCGACAAGCAAATGGACTGCGCTATCAAGAGCATCATGGGCGACATTGGTCCGATGACGAGCAGTCAGTCGATCAGTCAGTATGGATCACAGTCGCAGTCCTTCAACCAGTTCATGGACACCTCGATGGCCAACTCCACCGGCTACAACAACCTGCCCTACCACATGTCCTCCCATCAGATGATGCCTTCGAACATGAGAGGCAGCAGTATGATCGTCAATGATTCGATGCTGGACGAAGCAGTGAAAAGCATCCTCTCCTAGCAGCTGCCGTCAACACTATCCAGCACCACCTTGGTGCACAGATTTATCTGTGATTGTGTCGAATATGACTGCTTCTCCTTCTTCTCCTTCTTCTTCCTGAGCACCACCGAGTCTGACGAGTGCCTGTTGTGTCCCACCTGGAATAAGTTTGAAAACGTACCTGGCTGTGATTATCCTGTTTCACCCCTAATAATATAGAAACTATATTGAGATGTTATTTTACTGACTACCTGAGCACACTAGTGATACCCGGCACCTAGCACCACAATAACCATCACAATCACCTTTTATCGACCTAAAAGATAACCTATCGACTATGTATTATACCTGTTTTTACACCCTTCCGCACATCCCCACACGATCATATCATTTCATTCTGTATATTGTGTACATAAGATGCAACTCATCCTCTAGACGAAAGTTTACTGCTTACTGCATTTAATAAATAAAGTCATTCTTTGGTATAAAAAAAACACTTTCAAATGTTCAGCCAGTCTGCATCCAGTGAGATGGTCATATCAGTCTGCGTCGTCCGGTCGTAGTTCCAAATGGTTTGCGTCTCAATGTCAGTAAGCTCGAGATCAAAGATTTGGAAATCGCCTCCATCGGCCATCGTGTTCATATCATCGATGCCTCCCAAATCAGCCATGTTTGTCTGTGTTTGCGTCTGTGTGTCGCTGTAAATACCGCTGCCGAACGAATACTGGGTTTGTACTGCTGTTTCGAGGTGGCTCTCTTCGGAAGTACTCAGAAAGGTATCCCTCATTATGGGTTCACTTTGTTCTCCGAAATCATCAAGGAATGTTTGGGTGGAGGAGCACTTTGCACGGAGTTCGCCTTCAGGTGCCAGATGTGTCTTGCTTGATTGAGGAACATCAAAAGAGCTCGCCATCGTTTGCGTTTGAATACTTTGAACATTCAGCTTGGAATGAGCCCGATTCTTTTTGCGCACTGTCTGACAGTCGGTGCTGCGGCGACTTGTAGTGTGAGTAATATGTGCGTTTTCTGCTTTGCGGCTTTGACTAGATGAAGATTTCTTCGAGGAAGGTAATTGCTGATTAAGATTAAAACTAGCTGTGGGGTGAATGGCTTGCGCTGGCTTTGGCAAAATAGGCCTGTTGTTTAGCAGTGGTGAGGATCGATCGATGAAGATAGGAACAAGTAGTACTGTAGTGGCACTAGCAGACGAGCTTTTCTTAACCGATTTAAACTGCTGCTCGACAGGCAGAAGGTGAAGATTCCGCTTACAGTGCATCAGCAAGGAAGTTGGGTTTTTTGAAGAGTATTTTTTACCACATGTCCTGCACTTCAGCTCGGTGCCGCAAAACTTTCTGTGGTACTTTAGCTGCCAATCGAAGGCGAACTTTTCATCACATCCAGAACAACAGAATGCCTTGTCTTTGTGGCGGTTTTTAATGTGCTAGAAAAGAGTAAAGAACATCAGTGAAAAGCTTGAACCTCTTAAAATTTCACCACATACATTTTGCAAGAAGACCTCCTTCTTAAAGACTTTACTTCCCGTCGGTCCATACTGGCATTCGGGGTGAGGGCACTTGAGGAGAGCAGGTGGTGATGGCTCCATTTGTTGATGTTGAAGTGATCACGAGCCAAAACAACACACATTGCGTCAACCTTGCTTGCGTGTGTGTGTGCGCGCCTGCGTCAGTTTCTATCTCTCTCCAGCTGACTTGTACGCGTGTCATTAGGAATGAAAAAATCGCCTGTTTTCTTGCTGAATCCTCGCTACTGTTTTACTGAATCATTCCTCAATCACCGCACCTGTCTTTACCCCGTTCCTTTCCTTTTCTCCCCTGAAGGCACGAGCATCAGAAGGACATATCAATGAGCAACCAACCGGCAAACCGAGCTCACAAGCGACCGAAGAACAAGGCCCAAACAGAGGAAAAGAAGTTTTTTGCCGGTTCTGACCGAGAGCAGTTACTTGGTTCGGATGAAGAAAAGAAGAGCACCCTCAGCGGGGACTACTTGAACATCTGTGTCCTTCTCTTTCTCTACATTCTTCAGGGCATTCCTCTGGGCCTGATTGGAAGTGTGCCTTTTATCCTCTCCAATCGCGGAGTATCATACTCTCAGCAAGCTGTCTTCAGCTTCGTGACATGGCCATTCAGCGTCAAACTGCTGTGGGCCCCAGTGGTGGACTCGCTGTACTGGGAGCGCTTTGGCCGCCGTAAATCCTGGCTGGTGCCAGTTCAGTATCTGATTGGCATCTTTCTCATTCTCATCTCATTCAACATCGAGAATCTACTGAACAGCTCTGCTGGGCCGCAGATGACAGTGCTGACCGTCATGTTCTTTGCATTAAATTTTCTTGCCGCCACGCAGGATATTGCCGTTGATGGTTGGGCTCTGACCATGTTGAAGCCAACCAACGTCGGCTACGCCTCAACCTGCAACAGTGTGGGCCAGACTGCCGGCTACTTCCTGGGCAATGCCGTCTTCCTTACCTTGGAGTCGGCCGACTTTGCCAACAGCTACTTCCGCTCCACTCCTCAGCCTTACGGAATGGTCGATCTGCCGGGGTTTTTCTACTTCTGGGGCATTGTATTTCTGATAACTACCACCTTGGTGATGCTCTTTAAGCACGAAAGCACTGGCAAGTCGTTTGAAAATGACAACATGACCATCAGACAAACCTACTCGAAGCTGGTGGACATCTTCAACCTTCCTGCTATTCGACGATTCGCCTTCATTCTCTTGACATGCAAAATTGGTTTTGCTGTTACCGACTCGGCCACTGGTCTAAAGTTGATCGAGGCAGGTGTTCACAAGGAAAACCTGGCGCTGCTCGCCATTCCTCTAGTCCCTCTTCAGATACTGCTGCCTTGGATCATCAGTCGGTACACCAACGGACCGAGGCCGCTTGATGTCTTCATCAAAGCCTATCCTTACCGGTATGATTATTGATGACACTTTACTTTCGGTTTTATTTAACAATTGTCACTTTTTACAGACTTTCTTTTGGAGTGGTTTTTGCTCTCATTCTCTGGTGGACACGATACCTCCATGCTACTTCTGGGACTTTTCCACAGTACTATTACCTCGTCATTATCTTCTTTTACGGTCTGCATCAGATCACACTGTACAGCATGTTCGTCGCCGTCACAGCATTCCACGCTAAAGTCAGCGATCCAACGATTGGCGGGACGTACATGACCTTTCTCAACACCATCTGCAATCTGGGCGGAAACTGGCCGGCCACCGTTTCCCTCTGGTTCATCGACAGACTGACCTTCACTTCCTGCTCCGCTGACGGCACATCCTGTGCAGTCAACTCGGAGACTGACGCCTGTAAGGCTAACGGCGGCACCTGCAATGTCACTATTGATGGCTACAACCTTGAGGCCATCATTTGCATCACCATCGGCTTCGCGTGGTACTTCTGGGGCAGGAGGCAGCTGACCTTGCTCCAGAATAAGCCCTCGTCTGCATGGAAGTGCTCCTGACTACTAGTCGACCATTCGGAGGATGATTCAGCCCACCACCACCAGCCTACGACAGGTTTCGCTTTCATTGTATAAAATTCTGCAATAGGCGTTTGCCGCCCTCATCTGATGTTCTCATCACCTGTTAATTGAACTTGTTTGTTATTTATTGATCATTCTATGTACTCTTGCAACACTATCTATCCCAATAAACCGGCCAATAGACCGGTTTGGGTATCCCTCGAAAGAAGTGCCCCAGTGGCGCGCTAATGCAGTCAGCTGATCCAGTGCATCCCTCGCACTGAGCCGACGCAATTCTCTGCCCAAGCTTTGCAGAAGCACAAAACAGTATTTTGAGCAGACTCCTTATACCTATGGCCTGCACTGGATACTGCTGCTTCTTAGTTTCTTCTGCTCTTTTTATCTCTCTTCGGGTATCTCAAACTTGTTAAACGTCACACTTTGGTCTTGAACAACATTTTTCGAGCACTGCACTTCACTCGTGCCATGTGTCCTAGTCTTGTTGTTGTTGCTTCTCAATGAAGGCTCTCAAGAGGTACCTCCTTCTCCTTCTTACCTTCCTCATTCTCTGTGGAATCTATCGAGCTTTCTTCAGTCATCATGGCCCTGTGCCCTGCCTACCTTCTTTCTCCTCACAATCATCAAATACCGGCACAAATTACCTTTCCGGGCGTAAAAGTTATTACACCCTGGAAACGCATAAAAAATTCTTTTATTCGTATTCTGTACAAAATGTGCCTCAAAATGCGACGAAAGCACATGCCGCCTGTCACATGGGCAAGTGCTTTGACTTTAGTCGGTGTAAACAATCGGGTGAAAATGTGAAGATATACATCTACCCGAATGATGGCCAAAATGCTAGTCCTACGTTTATGAAGATAATCAATTTTATTAAAAACTCAAAGTATTATGAACCTGATCCAAACAAAGGTAAACAAATGGAGCTACTACTTTTAAATCAATCCACTTTTAAACTCTTAACTCTTTTATCTAGCTTGCCTTTACATTTCGGATATCGATACACTAGATCGAGATCCCCTTTCAGTGGATTTCAAGGTACTTTAAAAATTAGTCTGTTGTTTTTACTAATGTTTTTATTTATTTTGTTTAGAAATATGGGAAAAACAAACCCTTGCTGAATATGGGGCTCAATCATATTATGTTCAATTTGTATTCGGGAACTTGGCCTTTATACTCAGGTTTGTGTATTTACGTTTGGTAACTTTTAATTTTATTTTAAATTAAACTTTCAGAGTTGGATTTTAGCAATTTGGATTATCCACCTCATGGTAAGTTCAAAGCAATCAAGCGCAAACCAATTTTCTAAACGCCTTTTTTAAACAGCAATATTAGTAAAAGCTTCAATGTCGGTTGAAAATTATCGAAAAGGATTCGACATATCTTTTCCCCTGATCTCTAAAAATCATCCTGAAAGAGGCTCACAGCAACCAGCGCACGAAACGGCAAAAATTAACTTTGTAAGTTTTTGTTCATGTACAACTTTTGTCAATTTTTAATTTATGAACTCATGGTCAGCAGGAAAAGCCCAATGTGGAAATTATAAGGAAGGAGAAAGTTCGGTCCACTAAGTATTTGCTTGTTTTTAAAGGCAAGCGGTACATTTACGGAATTGGAAGTGAGACACGAAACTCTCTTCATCATCTGCACAACCACAGAGACATACTTATCTACACAACATGTAAACATGGCAAAAAGTGGAAAGATCTAGTTGATGATCGCTGTGAGCAGGACAATCTCGAGTATGACAAGTAAGTTAAAGTTCAAGTGACCAAAAAGAACACCCTGAATGATAGTTTTCTGATGTTCTTTTCAGACACGACTATCAAACGCTGATGAAAAATTCAACCTTTTGCCTTGTGCCTCGAGGCCGACGGCTAGGCTCATTTCGGTTTTTAGAAGCTCTCAGTATGGGCTGCATTCCAGTTGTTTTGAGTAAGTTCAGAACATTAGTTGTTCACGTAATAATTTGTTTGTTCAATCTTCACAGGCAACTCCTGGGTACTTCCCTTCAGTGAAGTGATCAACTGGTCAACAGCCGTTGTTATTGCAGACGAGAGGCTGCTCTTTCAGATTCCCGATCAGATTCGCAGTATCACTCCTTTTGAAATTGAAACAATGCGAGCACAGTATGTTTAATTGGGTGAACTTTCCTAATCTCACACCTTGCTGATTGCCCCTCACTTTTCCCCTCGTTTATAGGTGCATTTTCCTGTACAACACTTACTTCAGCTCACTGGAGCGAATTATCACCACTGCCATTACCATAATTGAAGACCGAATCAATTCGCACTGGGCGCGTGAATCCTTCCTGTGGAACGTCGCCAACCAGTCCCCACTGAGTCCACTGTGGCTCGTGCGCAATTACAGTGATCAAATCTCCCACTTTCCCTCCTACTCAACTCCCGTCGGTGTTGGCTTTTCCGCCGTCGTGCCCATATCTCGGGTGATCTCCATTTTTCAGCTGACCAAGTTTCTCAAGGCCAGTCTAATGTCGTGCAAATATGTTCGCAAAATACTGCTCCTGTGGACGCTGAAAAGTCCGGTGTCGCCGCAGATAATGCAAATTGCCGCTGCACATCCCGCCCTAGTTACGGTCGAGGAGATTAATGAGGGAAACGGCACAAACGGACAGCACGCCCGTTTCATTTGCTGTGTAGACTACGCCTCACTGCCAACTGATGCCGTCTTCCAGCTCGATCCGGAGAGCAATCTCATTCCCGAGGAGATCGACTTTGCCTACCTGGTCTGGGAGTCCTTTCCAGAGAGGGTGGTCGGATTCAGTGCCCGTGACCACTACTTTGACAGCTCCATCAACCAGTGGACGTACACCTCAAAGTGGACCAATCAGTACTCCATTGTTCTTCTCGATGCTGCCGTGTATCATAAGTGAGCACTGGTTATTTCTAATGCATTATTACACTTTTGAACTAATTGAACATTTTCTCTCAGGTACTACAACTTTCTTTTCCATCAGCACATTCTCTCAAGCAGTTCGCTAATCTCTATGGACTTTGATGAGGAGTGCTCGGGAATTGCATTCAGTAAGAAATTTTAATTTTTGCATAAGTTTGGTCTTAACTGATGAAAAATGTTTTTAGACNCCATCAGCACATTCTCTCAAGCAGTTCGCTAATCTCCATGGACTTTGATGAGGAGTGCTCGGGAATTGCATTCAGTAAGAAATTTTAATTTTTGCATAAGTTTGGTCCTAACTGATGAAAAATGTTTTTAGATTTTTTAATCAGCCATATCACTCGCCAGAGTCCCATCAAGGTTACCCAGCGCAAGAAGACAGTGAGCAGTGAGACGTTGCTGAACTCGTGGATGGCTTGGATCGACCGCAAGTCCTGCTTCCACAAACTGATCAATATGTTTGGCTACATTCCCCTGGTCAAGTCGATGGTGCGAATGGAGCCACTGCTGTACAAGGACGCCGTGGCCGCGCAGAGGAAGAAGTACCTCAAACTAGAGCAGACAATCTAAGGAGAGAACAACACACAATCACTTACACACTCACACTCACTCACACCTTGCACAGTGTCTTGTCAGTGAGTCAGTGATGGCCACTAATGTGAACTGAAGATAGCGTCTCACCTGACATTTTCGCGCCGTGGTTCAGGCAGGCAGCTGGCAGATCGCCACAAACGACTTGATACGGGCGCCATCTCGACTGATGCGACTGAAGGCCGCGGCTGCGACTGCGCCACAGCTGAGCGAGTTTCACTTTGCCTTGCTTTGCTTTGTTTTGTACGGTTCGCGTTTACTAAACACTGTGAAAGCTAGAAGTTCTGTCAAGTCTAGGACACTGGTCTGGGCGAGAAGAGGCACTGCACCTTACCTTAGCCCACGCAAAACGACGGCGGTCCTCTGAACTGCCCAAACAGAGGTTCGCCAGAACGACGATGACCTGTTCGCAGTGAAGACGCACGCACTGACCACTACAACCACAACAGCCACTCAGAGCAGCAGCAGCAGCAACATCAGCATCACCACCTGATATATTGTGATACATCACAACTGACTCTTTTATTCGTGTACAGAATCCCCTTTTCCTGCTTGTAGAAGATGTACTTAAGCTTGTGATATTGTTCCCATCGAACTAATCAACAGTTCGACCTGTGAACACCTCTGTTACAATATATGACATATAGTATTCTTAATTACCATTCACCTACAATTGCCAACTGCGTGTGTTTCTCTGCCTGCGCCATTAGTCATCGCTCTCCGTCGCCACACTCTTCTGATCTTCAGCTGACTAACCATGGGGAACTGTCTAAAGGCGGCTGGCGATGATATTTCACTGCTTCGGGAGAGCGCCCCTACGGCCCGCGAATCCTCTGACCAGTTTGTCTCACAGGCAGGTCTTCAGCTGGGCACCAGAAATTCTCAAGTAAGTTGGTCTACCGCACTGCTGCGTCATTACGAAAACACACACACACACACACACACTTACACTAACGCCAATGCCGCATGTTCATCAATCTTTTTTGACTTATCAATAGGACAATGGCACAAACCCCACTCTCTTTTATCCTTCGCCGAATGTGAGTCGCCAAGCGAATCAGTTGACAGAAGAGGAGCAGGTGAAGATTGCACAGCGAATTGGCCTGATTCAGCATTTGCCCACTGGTTCCTATGACGGCTGCAAGAAGAACAGAGAGTAAGTCAATGCTGCTTCTCAGAGTAGGCCATTGCTAACATGTGTCCTCCTTTGTCCCTCCCTTTGTGCCTCCCGCAGATGTGTCATCTGCATGATTGAGTTTAGCATCGATGACCCGATCCGATTTCTGCCGTGTATGCACATCTACCACACCAAATGCATCGACGACTGGCTGATGCGCTCCTTCACGTGCCCTTCCTGCATGGAGCCAGTTGACTCTGCCCTCCTCTGCACCTACCAGACTGACTAAACAGCACAAGCACCCACATTCTTCCTCTCTTTGATGTGGAATCCCCAGTTGAGTTGACTTGATTTTCGACTACCAAGATGATACACACGAGTATATTTTTGTACCCACTTTTTAGCTTCTCATTGTCTGGAACCTTTTTTATTGATAACTTGTTGAAAATCTCCAAGCTAGATCACCATCTTTGACCATCATCTTTTCTACTTATCTTTCGACACAAGCACACCCCCCCCCCTTGATCGACAAACTATTGAGGAGCTGTCAAGAGTGTACACAATACCTGTAAACTACACTTCTAGTCGAGAATATTCTATTTATTAGTGAGATGCACGCCCCCACTGGCCGCCACTGGCCAATACCACTTCACGACGAACGAGATCATCATTCAATACCCCTATTATTGAACACCTAACTATCTTGTTGCTTCGGATTGCTCCGATTGCTTTTGCGATTGCCTCGCGCTCCTTGTTTTTGTTGTATAAATCTCCTCCACCTCATCCTTCGCCTCTTCCTCTTCTCAAGATAAATAAATAAAGACAAACATTACATTAAACGAAGTCTACCACACTAGTGGTACCTTCAGCTTGGTTCCACCGTTGGCACGATCTGGATGCAGCTGCAGTGGCGGCGTTCTCAATGACGCCATCGCAGGCTGCTGATGCGACTGTCGCCGTGTCCAAGTGTCTGTGTCTCTCTGTGTTTGTTCGAGTGTTCATGTAGTGCTATCACCACTGATACAGCTGCAGTGTATAATTATCGACAGACAGTGAGCCATTAAATGGCACTGAATTGCTCAGCGCACATCGGATCGATTTCAGGGAACACAGTACTCCCCACTCTCCCTAGTGTGCACCTCGTCAACCCTTATCATCCGTAGGACACAGACGCCACTTGAGACCTAGTAGTGTTGCTGGCACCGCAGGAGGGCAGTTTGAACTATCCGGTGGTGGCGGTGACAGTGCAACGGGGGTCATCGTCACTCGCCAGTGCAGGCGAAAAAATGGAATGAGAAATAAGCCGCTGAGATTTGCAGTTGATCTACACTTGACTGTGTGTGTGTTTACATCGCCTCGGCGCAAAGAGCGCAGTTAAAAGTGTGGCGCTGGCCAGCCCACTTCTCGTGGCAGTGTCGGATGGAGTGCTTGCTGCTCTGGGCAGTAGTCAGCAGAGTGCCTCTGTGCTGTCTTCTGCAGCAACTGTTGTGGTGCACTGTGTCTGGATCGCCTGTCGCCGCCACCACCACCACCACCAACACTAGTATCCACAGCCTCTGTGGATACAAACAGCAGGAGAAAGAGACTGGTGTCAGTACTACTCCATCTCCCTCTCTATCTGCATGCCAATCCGCGCGCGCTCACTCGCCCATCACTGGTACTCACAGTCGACGATCCTCTTATCACTGCGCTTTCTCTCTCTCTCCTAACTGAGCACTACTTCTGGTGCTGCTGGTGCTGGCCGATCATGATCACAGCACCATTAATGTCCCATTGGTGATCACCAGTTCAGTCGCCACTGATCAGCCAGCACATCAGCAGCTGCTACAGCTGCTGCAATACTTGTGTATATTTTTTCTTTCTCCCGTTACTTCGGCAGTCTGACACGGAAACCTCAATCATCATCACTGTTTCTGCTTCTGTGGCACCTGTGTGCGCCAGTGTGAACACGCTCACCACCACCATTCATCCGCACTACCATCAACACACCGAGAACACGTCCATTCTCGTGAGCCAACATGTTGCTCCGAGGCATCAACAACAAACTGGCAAATGTCAACTGGCTTGTTGTGACACTTGCAGTGATCAGCTTCTTCAACGACGCCACTGGCGGTGCACTCGAAGGACCCAACATTTGCACCAAAAATGAAAGGTGCTTCTTTGTTTACTCTTGTTCACAATCTCCCCGGAAGTGTAGTTAACCTGACTTTGTCCCCTCTCTCAGTGTCCTCCAGGAGTATGAGGTCAAAGTGCCTGTTCCGCATGAAGTTCGCACTCATGGCTGGTGCCTGGAGGTCCCTCCTCGATGCCCCAAAATTAAGTAAGTATCTCGCTCTCTGACGATGCTTCAGTGTGCTCATTTCGCTCGATGACTCAGACGATATTTCGAGTAGAGTCGGCGTTTTGCCAGTTCACTGCAGTTCATTACCACAGTTCATTATACAAAGATCGAGTTTGCTAGTGCAGTTGCCAGGTTTCCCTTTTCCCCCTCCAAATGTACAGATCGATGACAGTGAAAATTAAAATTCACAACAATTTACAGTATTGAATTTCCGTTTGATGATCNTGCCTGGAGGTCCCTCCTCGATGCCCCAAAATTAAGTAAGTATCTCGCTCGATGACGATGCTTCAGTGTGCTCATTTCGCTCGATGACTCAGACGATATTTCAAGTAGAGTCGGCATTTTGCCAGTTCACTGCAGTTCATTACCACAGTTCATTATACAAAGATCGAGTTTGCTAGTGCAGTTGCCAGGCTTCCCTTTTCCCCCTCCAAATGTACAGATCGATGACAGTGAAAATTAAAATTCACAACAATTTACAGTATTGAATTTCCGTTTGATGATCGTTTTGCCATGTTAAGTGATGCTTCCGCAGTCTGTTTGCTAAACACTTGGCAGGAAATTGCTAAAACTTCAGTACGCTTCACTTCAATAGTCGATAGTTGGAATTTTTGACTTGTCGTGTGTTGCTGATAACTAACTAGATGATGTGTCATGTTCTTCACCAGGGTCGTTTACCGCACTGAAACGCAAAAACATGTGCGCAATGAAACGAAGATTGTAAAGTCCTGCTGCACTGGATATATGGAGATGAACAACAAGTGTGTTCGTAAGTTCATTTACTCTTTAAATGTCTGCGCTGTTTCAGGCTAACCTTTTTTCCTAAACTTCCACAGCTGCCTGTCCCAATGACTGCGGAAATGGCAAATGTGTTCGGACAAATGTTTGCGAGTGTGAATCAGGGTACGTGTTCTTTAGCTATTTTAGATAGCATCTGCTTAAATAGTCCTAATCTTTGGCTGCTTTCAGATGGGGTGGTGCCACTTGCAATATAAGTAAGTCGTTTTGAGCTGTTTGATGTCTTTCTTTTGCTCACACAAATGTGTGGTTGCCCTTTTAGCATGTCCTGAAAATAAGTTTGGCCCTAACTGCAAGAATGACTGCAACTGCAAGAATGGTGCCAAGTGTGACCCCGTAAGTGCATGTGCAAATAAACCTTTTTTGACTATAAAGGGATTACAATTTTACTGATTGCACACTTTTTCTGCAGGCTGACGGAAGTTGTGCCTGTACAGCGGTATGTCCTCCTGTCTCTCCACAAATGACTGCCATTCATTTAATTTGATTTTCTCCTGTCTGATTATCAGGGATGGACTGGAGCCGATTGCAGCGAGATGTGCCCGAAAGATCACTTTGGCGTTCAGTGTATTCAGATCTGCCAGTGCGTCAACGGCCAGTGTAGTCATATCAAGTACGTCACTGCATCAACATGCGTTTGTTCGCTATCTAACTTGTCTCTCTTTTTCTGTTTCAGCGGAACTTGCAAGTGTGATTCCGGTTTCAATGGGCCACTGTACGTGTTACCCCTACTGTTCAGTCTCCTTTTTAAAATTCCCACTTTACTTTACAGCTGCGAAAAGAAATGCCTCGACGGACACTATGGCGAGAACTGCCTGAACAACTGTCCCTGTCGCAACAACGGCACCTGCCATCACGTCCAGTAATGATCCGGCTAACCGTATAAAGATGTTCTATTTTTAACAAACGATTTTCTTTTCCTTTTCCTTTCGTTTTTAAAACAACAGCGGAAAGTGTGACTGTCCTGCTGGCTGGACTGGTGAAATCTGCACTACCAAGTGTTCTGATGTCGGTCGATGGGGGCCCAACTGTAGCTACGAGTGTGATTGCTTCAATGGTGGCGTCTGTGACCCCGTTTCTGGGCAGTGTCAGTGGTAAGTGTTACATTGCAAGCCAACTTGTTCAATTATTATTCACTGCAATGCACTATCACTCTCTCAACCAGTCAACCAGGCTACATTGGCGACAAGTGTGAAAATGAATGTCCCTCTGGCAAGTTTGGCCTAAACTGCTCACAGTCGTGTGACTGCCTGAACGGAGCCTCCTGCGAGAAAGCCACCGGAGAGTGCATTTGTCGGAAGGGCTACAGTGGATCCAAGTGCGCCACTCGCCACTGTCCGGATGACAAGTTTGGCGAAAAATGCGACAAGAAGTGCCAGTGCCATGGCACCAACTCCCTTCACTGTGATTCCTGGGATGGCACCTGCCGGTGTAAGCCCGGCTTCAAGGGCAACTGCTACAAACAGTGCTCACCACCGTACTATGGCGAAGACTGCAAGGAAATCTGCAACTGCAGTAATGGCATCTGCCATCACATAACTGGTAATCACTGTCACTTGTGCTCTTGACTCATCAGGTGTAATCTTTTATTTGCTTCATTTTTTCATCTTTTGTTCAGGCGCTTGCATGTGCAATCCAGGCTGGATGGGTGCAAATTGCGACAAGCCTTGTTATGCGGGCTACTTTGGCGTCCAGTGTGTTCAGAAGTGTCAGTGTTTCGGCAACGTCAAGTGTAACTCTGAGTCAGGAGAAGTAAGTCACTATCTGTTCATTATCTAAACCACTTTTAACAACTTCTGTCGCTTCCATCAGTGTGACTGTCCGCCTGGATTTTCCGGCCTAAGGTGTGATCGTCCCTGTCCGGTGAATAAGTTTGGTCCAAAGTGCGCTTATGATTGCAAATGCCAAAATGGGGCTGCTTGCAATCCGACCAATGGTTAGTAAACAACCTTAGTTTTGGTCTTTTTGGCTAAGTATTTATTACAAATATAGGAACTTGCACCTGTACAGCCGGCTACATTGGCGAAAACTGTCAATCGAGATGTGGCAAAGGCGCTTTCGGTTTTGGCTGCAAGTACAACTGTGACTGCGTGGCTGCAAACACAAAGTCGTGTGACTTCAAGACGGGCATATGCTCATGTGAGCCTGGCTTTTTTGGTTCTCGGTGCGAACACCCAATCAATACCTGTTCACGCGGAAAGTTTGGGTCATCTTGTAGTGACACTTGTAACTGCAACAACATGGCTTGTGACCGCAGTGGCTCAAGTTGCGTCTGTGAGACTGGTTTCACCGGCAGTATGTGCGAAAAAATGGTACGGTTAGATGAGTGACTAATATGTTCTAACTAATTCAAACTTGTTTTCAGTGTCCAAGTGGATCTTTTGGAAAAAACTGCGTCCAAGATTGCCCTCACTGCTTGAACTCAAACAAAACCTGCAACTATCGTGACGGCTCCTGCGTCTGCCACCCTGGATTTGTAGGCACCTTCTGCGAACAGGTAAGTGTAGCTGTTTTTTATGTCAAAAACTTTTCTAAATGATCTTGTTCCTCGCAGACTTGTCCTCAGAACTTTTGGGGTCATAACTGCCAGAATGAGTGCAACTGTGACGGCAGTGGCGGAGAATGCAATCACATTACCGGTAAGTGTCTGGTAATTTTTGTATTGTTTCTTTTATTCATTTTGTCTTTTTTTTGCTCAGGCAAATGTGTTTGTTTTCCTGGTCGAAAGGGCGACACTTGCGCCGAACGCTGCAATGAAGGATTCTACGGACTGGCCTGTAAGCAGCAGTGCAAGTGTCAGAATGGAGGTAAATGCCATCCCACCGTTGGAACGTGCTTCTGTCAACCAGGTACTACTGGAAACAATACGTTTTTCAATACTCAATTCTCATCACTTTTTTCACCTTCAAGGCTACATTGGTCTACTGTGCTCTGAAACGTGCCCTGATGGCTTTTTTGGCGACAACTGCATCAATGTATGCTCTTGTCCCAATAAGAACTTTCAGTGCGACCCTGTGCAGGGCTGTGTGTGCAAGAACGGTTTTACCGGAAAGAACTGCGACCAAATTGACAAGGAGTACAGTGCTCAGGTGGAAGAGCACAAGACCTCTGGCTTTCCATTCATTGTCTTCTTCTGCGTGATCACACTCGTTATCACCGGCGTGGCAGCCTTCTACTACCGGCGAAAGTTCACTGAGCTGAAGGAGTTGCTGTATGTGGAGTACAGCAACTACACTGGCAGCGCAGAGCCGCGTCACTTTGACAATCCAGTGTACGCTTCGATGCCGAGCAATAGCAACACCAAACTGCTGAACAACGCCAGCACCAGCAATCAACTGAAGAACACCAACTTGATCAAGTCAAAGATGCACTTTGATGATCTTGAGCACGAACGCCCCGAGGCAGTCGGCAATGTCTACGAGACTGCCAACACCAACCTCTACGTAGAGGTGGACGAGAATAAGCTGAACAAGGATAACAACTTTTACCACACCATTGACGAGATTCATGAGAGCACCTTTAAAGCTCATCATGACAACGGAAGGCCTTCTCTGCCTACTTCACCTCTTCCGACCTCATCTTCAAGCAGTAAGTGCATTTGCTAATCAAAAAAGCCTGTGTCCCAACATATTTTTTTTCTTGCAGTTCTCAACTGTGTCCCAATGCCTTCAACATCAAAGAATCTTCCCAACTACGTGAATAACATTGTGAATAGCAATCTGAACGACTATGACTTTCCCAAGCACCCTAACCAACAGAGTCGAAACTACACCAACATTGCCAACAATGATAACTCAACCGAATCGGAGGATAAAAAATCGGAGAAGTTCTGAAGCTGACGAAATCTCACTCATCCCTCTTCGACTTATCATCTGCATTTGCACAAAACTCTCGTATTTATTGCGCTCCTTTAGCATAAATAGCTTTCCGTACACGTACACACCGCCCATCACGTACAACGGAGGCAGTCATACACTTGTTTTCTGGCTGCTAGCTCACGAAGTTCTATTTCTTTCATTTCTTCGCCTAGAGCAGCCCCTTCCCTTACGATTGACCACTGGTGATGTCTTCTCTTCCATTCTCAGTCATTTGCACAATTTTTACTTTGAAAAATAGTTACGATTCTTTCCTGTGATAACTTTATTTTATTTTTCCATACCAGACGAAGATTTATTTTACCAAATATTGAAGTGCATTTCTTTTATAAACCAAGATGTATTTTATTTTCTACTATATTTACAATAACAACAAAATGATTTTCATGATTGCCTCTTTATACAGGATCAGATCCAAATTTACATGTGTCACAACACCTGACATGGGGAGAGTATTTGTTTGTTTCACTTGATTTTATCACTGGTAGCCACTCTTCGGGTGAATCGACCAAAGAAGATGCCACAGAAGAAGATGAAGAGCATGAAGGAGCCGACCACTGAGTAGACTGAATTGTGGACCGGTGAGTTGGCCACCACTTGCATCACCTTCGCCACACTGTCACTCGGGTACACCTCAGAGGCGTACTCGAACAGCTGACGACGTTTGCTAAGCAAGGTGTCACACTCGGGACTAAGCTTGCGCGGTGAGGAACGCTGAATGGCGGAGAGGCAGTTCAGCTTATGACCGGCACCGGTGACCACGTCGCTGCAGTACGCCTTCAGGTCACTCAGGCAGACATTGTAGAGGTGTGGGTCGGACTCAATGTCAGACTCACTTTCGCGAATGATTCGAGCCACCTCGTGCTTGCAGCCAATGTCCTCGATGCGCTTCTGCATAAACTTCACCTTCAGACACTCCTGCACGTCCATCTTGTCGGCGCACTGCTTGCCAATGTCCTTCTGACAGCTTCGAAAGAGTACTGGGTCAAGGTCGAGGTTGAGAGAGACCTCTCGAATGATGTTCACCACTTCCACTTCACACGGCTGAGAGAGCAAATTCAGCAGGTACTGTCGCTTCAGGCAGCTGATCACCTTGCCGTCCAACAGTTCGTCTCGCTGTCGTTTGATGATCACATCAGCGCAGTGCTTTTTAATTTCCTTCTTACAGTTGTTTCGCAGTCGTGGATTAAGTCGGTAGTCTTGATTCTGCTGAAAAAGGCGCTTCATGATCACCGCATGACAGGCGTTGCCAATTCCGGGCTCACGGCGGTGGTCTCGCAGACAGTAGAGCACCTCACTGAGGTCTGAGGTGTAGCAGAACTTGTCGATGGCGCCCTTGCAAATGCTGAGCAGTGAGTAGTCGACGGCATTGTCCGCCAGTTCAATGTACTGCTTGCGGAAGAGCTGTCGCTGGCAGGCCTTCTTCAGTTTGCCCATGTTGCTCTTCAGACACTCAATCACCTGTGCCTCTCCAGTTTCCACGTTGCCACAGTACTGGTTCCGCTCAAAACGACAAGCCTCTGTGAAAAGGGTAAATTAATGTGAGACTTTAGAAATAGCTTCCCACACTTGATAAACACTTGCCAGATAAGTGACCATCCAGATTGACGTTCTCATTGATCTGAAGCAGCTCTACGCGAAGCATACTTTTGCAGTCCTTTGAAACGCGCCGTTTGCTGTCGCTGACTGTGTCATTGTAGACCAGCGTACTGAGGCAGCTGATGACATCCCCTTTGGTGTGCACCTGAGAGCAGTAGCTGGAAACGTCGTCCTTGCAGGCCTCCTTGAACTTTGAATCAAAACGAAAGTCCTTCATGTTAATCAGTTGGTAGTGCTCAATGGCAGCGCGACACTTGCGATTGCCCTTCATCTGGTAGCTGTTCTTTTTGTGCACCAGACAGTCGATCAGATCTCCGTGGTCATCGTCGTAGAGGTTGTCAAACTCCTGCGGACAGAGCTCCTTCGCCATGCTGGAGCAGGACTTGAAGAGAGGAACGTTCAGCTCAAAGTGTGACCCCTGGGCGACGGTGAAGTTGCCAATTGCACTTTGGCAAACTGGAGTCAGGTGCTCATAGTTCTCCTGCAGGCAGTCCATGTCATAGCCCTTCTTGTCGACCGACTCCTCTGAGCTGCACCACTTGGCGAGGTCAGTCATGCATGGCTCCTCGATGAAGGGAATCAAATCGACATTGACAGCTCGCTGCTTCATGATGCGCTTCACGTGGTGGACGCAGTCTTTGCTCAGCTGAGAAGACGACCCTTCGTGGAGATAGACGTACCGGTACAGACAGGCCATCACCGTCGGTCCTCGCTCCGGGTCCATGTTGTCCTGTTCGTCGTACCAGTTGCGTCTCGCGTGGCAGAAGTTAACGGCGTCAGCATGACAAGCCTCGTAGATCTGCGAGTCCAGCTCAAAGTTGCGCACCACAAAGTACTGCATTTGCAGCAGTGCCTGACGGCACTCGTCCGCCATCAGACTGGAGTCACTGTTCTGGGCCAGACAGCCAAGGACTCGGCCATTGCCCGGTTTGATGCCCTGACAGAGCGTCTGCACCGTTGTCTGGCAAGCTGAAAAAGGGAAAAAGAGGATATTATGAAGTTGGAAGATTTTACATTAGAACATCGCTTACCTTCTTGAAGGACAACGTCTACTCGCCAATCATCGCCGACATTCACTTCCTTTAGAAGATTCTCAATTTCAGCCTGACATTTGGTGGAAATTCGTTTTCGAATATGTGCATCGCCTCGGTGACGCTTGGTTTTAGCGTGTTTCATCAGACAATGAAGCATCTTTCCGCCAAATTCGAGATTAGGACAAAACTCATCAATGTCCGGTTGACAGGCGTCGACAAGCGTTGGCGTCAGTTTGTAGTCCTCAATGAGATTTTGACGATGAATGAGCATTTCCGAGTAGCAATCAGTGGAGATTGGCAGATTTTTTGTGTGGGCATTCTCAAGACAGAGTAAGATCTGCGCAAGACGTATTTCTCTACGATCACTTGTTCCTTCGCGGCATTGATAACGTTTAATATCACTGCGACAGGACTGCACCAAACTCTTCGATACCTTGTAGTCCTGGACAATGAGTCGCTCTCGCTGTGTCAACTTGTCACGGCATCCTTCGCTCATGTCACTCTCGTGTTTGTTTCGCATCAAACACTTGTAGATTTGCCCATTGCCCGACTGTACGTTCTTGCAGAGCTTCTCCCGATCAGTTCGACAGGCAAAGTACAGCGGCTTATCCAGATGAAAGTCGTCGCTTTGAAGCTCAGAAATGCGCAAAATTTCGTGTTTGCACAGCAATGACAACTTCTCCAGATGCTGTTGCAAACACTCGATTGTGTCAGTTTGACTGTGTAAACTCTTCTCGTCAGTAGTTAGGTGATCCAATCGACCACATTTGAACTGCTTTATATGCGTTTCGCATTGATTCGTAAGCTTATGCACCAGACGGTAGTCACTGAAGATGATCAATTGCATCTCTTTGAGGTACGCCTTGCAGCCAAAGTTCGTTTCATCAGTGATTCGATCAATCAGGCATGAGAGTATACTTGCACCTGGACTAAGAACATCTGCATCATTTTCCGCTTCAAGACACTCTGGATTGGCCAACAAAAGCGGCTTGCAGATAGCTTTAGTGTATGGTGTGAACTGATCGGTATTGCTTATGTTGAACTTGAAAGTCCAAATCTGATGTTGACACTCTGCCGATAACTTCCCCTCTACGTCTTTTCGATCTGAAAGACAGTTGAGAATGGCCAAGTTGTTTTGAAGCACCGTGGGATCATC